CTCTCTCTCTCTCTTTCTCTCTCTCTCACTCACTCTCTCACTCCCTGTATTTTTCCCTTCCCCAGCTCTCCAAAGACATTGCGCGCAAAGAAGCCGAGCGCGCAGAGATGGAGAGAGTGCGGATGGAGCTGGTCCTGGAGGAACAGGAGGAAAGGGAACGACAGAGGGAGATGGTGAGTAGATTCATGCCTCTCTCATGCTCTCACAAAACGGCGTAAACGTGAGACTGTGTGTTTGAGAAAAATCAATATATTAGGAGATAACATATTTATAAACAGTTATTATTTATTTATAAATTTTGTTATTATTTTTTATTGTCTTACCATTTGTTTATTTTTATTTTCTTTTAATATACCTTGTTTACATTTTTGTTTAATATGATTGATAATTTTTTTTCTTTTATAATAATTCAATTATTATTATTTATTACAAGTATTAATTAATTTCCTTTATTATAATCCATTTATTATTATTTTCTATTGTGATTTATTCATAATTAGTTATTTCTTTTGTAATACTTCAATTATTGTTATATATTGTAATTTGTTTATTGCAAGTATGAATTAATTTCTTTTTATTTGTAATTCATTCATCAGTATTTTTTAAATTATGATTTATGTATCACTCATGTTAATTTTTTTCTTATATTATAATTTATTTATTATTATTTATTTACTATTTTCTTTTATTGTTATTTTTTAAATTAATATTTCTTGTTATGACTTGTTCATTATTAATTATTTTATCTTATAATAATTCAATCTTTATTAATATTCATTATAATGTATTTATTGCATGTATGAATTCTTTTCTTTTCTTATAAATTGATTTATCACTATTTTTTATTATAATAAAATTATGTATTACTCTTATTAATTTTTGTTGTTGGTTATAATTTATTTATGATTATTTATTTACTATTTTCTTTTATTGTTATTTATTTAGTATTATTCCTTATTATGATCTATTTATTATTAATTATTTTTTCTTTTATAATAACTATTATTATTTTTTAAATTGTAATTATTCATCGCAAGTATTAACTATTTTCTTTTTTTATCTTTTATTTATTACAATTTATTTACTATTTTCTTTTATTGTTATTTATTATTATTATGATTTATTCGTGACCTATTTGCTGGGCAGGCGGAGCTGGAGCGCCAGATGAGGCAGAAGATCGAGATGCAGATGACCCACGCTCAGCAGATGCACTACAAGGCTCTCAGGGTGGAGGCAGAGAAGGAGGAGGAGGAGCAGTTCCGCAAACAGGTGGCTCACACACACACTGACAGACGCACACACATACACATGCACTGGGAGTCACACACTTACACACTGGGAGATGCACACACACACACACTAGCAGACGCACACACACTGGCAGACACACATATTTACACACACTGGGAGACACACATATTTACACACACTGGGAGACACACACACACACACTCACTCTCCTATTTTCACACTCACCTACATCCACAAGACTTATAGATATATTATGTTGTGTTTATTCATTTCTTTAATCTTTCTTTCTATCTATCTTGTCTCTCTTTCCTAATTAAGTATTTTATCTCTTTCCATCTCTCTTTTTTTTTCTCTCTCTCTCTCTCTCTCTCTCACACACACACACACACACACACACACACACACACACACACACACACACACTCACTGTCTCTCTCTCCCTCTCTCTCTCCCTCTCTCTACCTTTCACTTTTTCTTATCCTACCTACTACTAGTACTACACCCCTCTCTCTGTCTTTGTCTCTCATTCCCTCTTTTCTATTTTTTTCCACTTCTCTGTTTCTTTTTTACCTTTGACCCCAACCTTGACTGTTGACTTTCTTGTTGACTGTTACCATTGACCTTTGACGTCCACATTGACCTCTACCCCTGACTGTTGACCCATGACATTGACCTTTACCCCGGATTTCTGCTCCCCCCACCCTGACCTTTGATCTCAACCCTCTCCCTGCTGACCTCTGACCTCTGACCCTCAGATGCTGGCCAAGTTTGCAGAAGACGACCGCATCGAGCAGATGAACGCCCAGAAGCGCCGCATGAAGCAGCAGGAGCACCAGCGGGCCGTGGAGAAACTTCTGGAGGACCGGAGGGCGCAGTTTGCCCGCGAGAGGGAGCAGGAGGTGGAGGCCAGGAGGGAGGAGGACAGGCTAGAACAGTTCAGGAGGCAGATCATAGAGGAGGAACGACAGAAGCTGCTGAGGGAACACGCCACCAAGCTGTTGGGCTATCTGCCCAGGGTGAGTTGTACTTCTATCTGTCTGTCTGTCTGTCTGTCTGTCTGTCTGTCCGTCCGTCCATCCGTCCGTCTGTCCATCTGTCTGTCTGTCTCTCTGTCTCTCTGTCTGTTTGTCTGTCTGTCTCTCTCTCTCTCTCCCTCTCTCTCTCTCTGTATCTCTCTCTCTCTCTCTCCCTCTCTCTCTCTCTCTCTCTCTCTCTCTCTCTCTCTCTCTCTGTCTCTCTCTCTCTCTCTCTCTCTCTACCTTTATCTTTTTCCCCCCTCTATCTCTGTCTGTCTCTCTCTCTGTCCCTCTGTCTCTCTCTCTCTCGCTCTCCTTCCCTCCCTCCCTCTCTCCTATTATCTCTCTGGTCTGTACTCCTCTCAAATTCCTCTTGTATTCCTCCTGGACTAACTCATTCCGTCTGTCACTCTCCCTCTCTCCCTCCCACTCACCCTCTTTATACCTCTGTTCTGTCGTTCAGGGAGTGATCAGAGACGAACAAGACCTGGCCCTGTTGGGCCCCGAGTTCCGAGAGGCCTACTCCCAGAGACAGCTGGATCCCTTCGACGAGACGGCCTGGGAGACCAAGTAGGAGGCTGGCTGCTCTACGAGACCACCTGGGGTACCAAATTGGAGGCTGGCTGTTTTATGAGACCGCCTGGGGAAGGAAAAGGAGGGGAAGGGAGGCTAGCCTTCTAATGGTGT